GAAGGGCGCCTTGCTGCGCCAGGGCATCGACATGGACACGGCCTACGTCGGCGACGTGGCCAAGGGCACGCAGGTCGTCGTCTGCGGCCAGGGCGTGACGCGCGACGGCGTGCCGCGCTACGAGCTCGCGTCGCCGCTGCGCGGCTGGTGCTCCGCGCGCGTGCTGAGCCCGCCGCAGCAGGCCGGCGCCGGCGCGCTGGCCGCGGACGTCATGTCGCGGCCCGGCCGGAACGCGCGCGCGGCGCCCGAGCGGCCCGCGCCGGTCCAGACCGCGGACCTCGCGACGGTCGCGCCGCAGCTGCTCGAGCCGCCGTCGCCGGGGCCCAGCGGGACGTCGTCGTCGTCGAGCGACGACGGCTCCGTCAGCGACGACGACGACGTCGACATCGCGAAGATCGCGGAACGGAGCGACGCGAGAAGGGGCTACCTCGCGCCGTCGACGGGCGACCCCGTCGCGGCGTCCGCGCGCGCCAAGCTCTGGACCGGCGACTGCGACGGCGCGGAGAAGCTGGCCCTGGGCGGCGACCCCATCCACTGCCTCGGCGTGCTCCGCGACGCGCGCAAGGCGAGGGACGCGCTCAAGGAGGCGGACGCGCGGTTCCGCGAGGCCGTGCAGAAGGACGCGTCGCCCGACGAGCTCGAGGGGTTGCTGGAGCGCATGCAGGTCTACATCCGCCTCGCGCCGCGGTGCCAGCAGGGCGCGGGCCTCCAGCTGGCCGTGCTCCTCCGGCTCAAGTGGCACGACGCGTCCGCGGCGGCCCTCGAGCGCATGCTCGACTCGCAGGACTCGCGCGCGGGGCTCGCCGAGTCCTTCACCGTGGCGTCCCTGGACCTCGCGGGGACGCCGCGGCGGCGCGCGCTCGCGGAGAAATTGGAGGGCGCGCACGGCGCCGCCTACTTCGAGTGCCTCCGGGCGACGTGCCGCTGGCGCGACGCGGCGGCGTTGATCGCGGGCATGATCGCGCACGGCAAGGTCGGCAAGGACCAGGGCCCGCCGCTCCTCGCGGAGCTGCGAGTCCTCGGGGACCTCTACGCGGCGGCGACGAAAGCCGCGAAGGCGAACAAGCGCAAGGCGGCCGCGCGCGCGTTCGGCGACGCGTCGGACCGCGCGCCGGACCACGTCCTCCTGCTCTGCGAGTACTCGGAGGCGCTGCTCCTGGCGTCGGACGCGCCCGCGGCCTGCGAGAAGGCCGCGCTCGCCGTGCAGCTCGCGCCGACGTTCGCGCCCGCGCGCTGCGCGCTCGCCAAGGCGCTCCAGGTGCTGGAGGACGTCGACGCCGCCGTGGAGCAGTACGAGATCGCGCTCCACTGGGCCCACGACCCGGACGCGGCGAACGCGGTCTTCCGCGCGCTGCACCGCCTCAAGAAGCACGCGGCGTCGGGCAACGCGTTCTTCAAGGGCGCCTTCGGCGGCGGCGGCGACGAGCCGGCGGAGGAGTCGGGCGACGTCGACGCCGACGTCGCCGCCGCGGTGAACTTCGCGGCGCGCGGCGGCGAGAACCTGTACGAGACGCTCGGCGTGCCCGCGGACGCGTCGGACGGCGTGCTGCGCCGCGCGTACCGCAAGCTCGCGCTCAAGCACCACCCGGACCGCGCCGCGGACCGGAACAAGGGCGCCCGGCGCAAGGCCGCGGCGCCCGAGTCCGACGCCATGGCCCGCATCAACGCGGCCTACGAGATCCTCGCCACGAAGGAGAAGCGGCACCAGTACGACGACGCCTACACGGCCGTCATGCGGGCGCGCAAGCGGGGGTTCTAACGGATACTGGCTTCGGAGACCGAGCTATCGCGCCCGGCCGGGGCCGTGGCCCCGGTCCCGGCGTTACTACCCCCGGCGCGGGCTCCGAGAGCAGACCCAGAGTTGATCCTGCGTCGGACTCGGATCGGCTTTGGCACCGTCCGTCGTCGCCCGCATATCCGGTCTTGCGCCGCAACAGTGGCGCCAAGCTTGCATCGGACGGCCTCGACATAACGGTGACCGCCTCTGGTTGCAACGCTGCGCCGCGCGTCGCGAAATTCGCTGCGCATCGCCCATAAGCGTCTCGGCAGCTCCAAGGTGCACCTCGGCGGGCGGACTCGCGAGCGGACGACGCTCGCCTGACGCGCCATGCAGCGCGGCAGCAAGCGGTCCCACGACGACGCCAACGCCAACGCGCTGCCGCTGCGCACGGGCCAGTGGACGCAGGCGGAGATCGCGTTCGCGCAAAAGGTCATCCAGTACTTCCACCTCGGCACCCTGCCGAATTGCGAGAACGGCGCGACGCTGCGCGCGCTCCTCGCCGAGCTGCTCCACTGCAGCCCCATGCGCATCTCGAAGAAGTTCGCGGGCGACGGCGCGATCGGCAAGCGGACGTTCACGCGCGTCGAGGCGCTCGAGGAGCGGTCGCGGACGGAGCTCCAGACCATGGAGCTCGCGTTCCACGAGTCCATCGAGGGCAACGCGCGCTGGCCCCTCGTGCCCTGGGCCACGCTCCTCCTCGGCCGCGCGGGCGGCGGCGGCGACGGCCCGGGCCCCGCGCGCGACGCGCCGCCGCGCGGCGACGTCGGCGCGGGCGCCGCGGGCGCGGCGGGCCCCGGGGGCCTGACGCAGAACCCCATCACGCTCCGGCGCCTCGCCTACGACCGCGGCGCGCCGGGCGGCGAGGAGCGGCCGTCGGGGCCGCCGGAGATGTACGGGAGCCTCTACAATCGGAGCCTGCTGCACCGCGAGGTCTACGGCTGGGTGCCCAACGAGCTCGGCGTCGACAAGTCGCCCCACACGCTCGCGCGCCTGCTGGACGTGTCGGGCCAGACCATGTCGGACCGGGCCGCGCACATCGCGGCGCTGAGCGAGCCGCGGACGTCGCCGCCGAACAGCCTCGGCGCGCCGAGCCCGGCGCAGAGCCACCGGAGCCTCGAGAGCGGCTCGACGGGCGGCGCGAGCCCGCGCCAGGACGCGCACCACTCCGGCGGCACGAGCCCCGCGTACCTGTCGCCCCTCGACGCGCACCGCGCGCTCGCCGGCGACGCGGCGCAGCGGTCGCCGGCGTTCACGTTCGGCCCGCCCGTCGTCCGCGGCGACCGCGCGGGCAGCGACCTCAGCGCCGCGTCGTCCCAGCGGTCCGCGGCGACCCAGCTCCTGCCCGCCTTCGCGCCGCCGCCGCCGGGCCGGCCGGGCGAGTTTGAGGCGCCGGGCCTCTACCCGAACCTGCCCCCGGGCGCGTCGCCCCTCGACCTCCAGCGCCTGCTCCAGCCCGGCATGGGCTACAGCCCGTCGCCCCAGCAGCAGCACCGCTTCCTCGTGCAGTCGTACCAGAACGCGCAGCAGGCGGCCTTCGGCCGCGCGTGGGCCGCGGGCGCGCCGCCGCCGGCCGCCGGTGACGCGGCGCGCGCCGTGCCCGCCATCTCCTACGACGACGGGTCGTCGACGGGCTCCGTGAGCCGGGCGCTGGCGTCCATCGGCGAGCCGAGCCCCGTGCCCTCGGACCGGCCCCTGCCGGGCATGGCCGCGCCGCCGCCGCGGCCGCCGGCGCCGGACGCAAAGGCCGACGACGCCGCGTCCGACGGCAGCAGCCCGGCGAGCATCACGCCGAGCTCCGTCGCCGACTCCCTGTCGCCCGCGGACATGAGCCGCGTCATGACGGGGGGCGCCGCGCCGCCGCCGGCGCCCGCGGCGGCGGCGGCGACGGCGCCGCCACCGGCGCCACAAGCCTAGGGGAAACACACCAAGCAGAGACGGCGACTCGCAGAGTCGCGTACCTTAGTAAACCAAGCTTCCTCCTTGCCTTTACAAACCTCACTCCGAGTCGAGCGCTCGCGTAAATCAAGCTCCCTCCTTCCCGCAGACTCGGTTACTACGACGCGCTTTTCTCGTCGCTGAGCGTGCGGTGCTTGCGGTGGTCCGCGTCGTTGGACGAGGGCCGCGAGTCGGGCGGCGGCTCGGGCCTCCGCTCGGGGAGGGCCGGCGCGGCGCCCTCGGCCGGCGGCGCGTTTGCCGCGGCGGGGACGACGGGGAAGTTGAGGCTCGCGCGGCTGCCCGGGCGGCTCATGTTGAAGGACACGCGCGGCGCGGGCTGGTCGCGGATCTCCTCGGCGAGGACGCGGTCGTCGACGTCGAGGAGGTAGGGCCCGGCGCCGCGCGACGCCGCCGACGAGTCGTCGTCGCTGCCGTCGCGGTCGGGCCGCTCCAGCTCGCCCGAGACGCGGTCGGACACGGCGTCGAGATCCACGGGCAGGCGCGCCGCCGGCGCCTCGGACGGCCGGTGCCGCAACAGCGACGACCGCAGCGGCGACGAGATCGGCGTCGGCGTCGGCGTCGGCGCCGGGAACGAGTGGCGCGCGTAGTCCGGCGGCCGGTCCGGCGGCCGGTCGCCGATCTGGACGACGCCGCGCCGCGACGCCCCCGGCGACAAAACGAGCGACGCGCCGAGCGCCTCCGGCGCGGACTTGGGCGGCGCCGGGGCCTCGGACGACGACGCGCCCGAGTCGTCGAGCGACGACCGCGCGGGCGGCCGCGCCTCGTCGGCCTTGGCGCCGGGCTTGCGCCCGCGCTGGCTCGTCGACGTCGACCGCCGGAGGCCCGGGCCGCCCGCCGCGGGGCGGTTCGGCCGCTTGACGATCGTCGACTGCGCCCGGCCGAGCCGCGCCTTCAACGCGAGCGGCTTCCGCGGCGGCTCGAGGTCCGCGCCCGACGCGCGGCGCCCGAGCTTCGGCCGCGCCGCGGCGGGCTTCCCGGGCGCCGGCGCCGGCGCGCGCGCGGCGTCCGCGGCGCCGTCGTCCTTCTTCGGGGCGGCGGTCTCGCGGGGCTTCCGCGCGGCGTTCGCGGGCGGCGCGAAGTTCGCCGACGGCGCGGGCTTGGGCCGCGGCGGCCGCTTCGCCGGGTCCCGCTTCGCCGGCGCCGGCGCCTCGGCGACGTCCGGCGGCGCGTCCGCGGTCGGCTCGGGCGCCGGCGCCGGCGCGGCGGCCGCCGCCGCGGCCCTCGCCGCCTTCGCCATCGCGGCGACCTCGTCGTCCAAGCCGAAGAAGTCGACGAGGGCCGCGCACCACTGGCCGCCGAGGTCCAGCAGGTCCCGCGTCGTGAACTGCGCGTCGCGGTGGCGGCCCGCGACGCCGCCCATGAACGACACTTCGAGCGTGTACGACCGGCGCACGCCGAGCTCGCGGCAGACGACGGCGCGCGCCGTGCCCGCCTTGCCCCGGCCCAACCGAAACGTCGTCTTCTTCTTCGTGAACATGCCGTAGGCCGCCTTGGCGAGCACGAGCGGGAACGCGCGCGGGTCGCCGGGCCGGAGCTTTCGGCGCCAGCCCCGGCTCGCGGCGGCCGCGCGCGGGCTCCCGTCCCGCGGGTCCCCCGTCTGCGTCGCCGCGGCCAGCGCCGCCGCCGCGGCGACGGCGACGGCCTCCTTGGCCGCGGCGACGGCCGCGGCGTCGAAGGGCTTCTTCGTGGCTTTCTCCGTCATCTCGCGGGCAGCGGACGCGGACTCGCGCGCGTCCTTGGCCAGCGACCGCCGCGCCCGGAGGCCGTAGCGGTCCGCGTCCGAGAGGATGCCGTAGAGGAAGACGCCCTTGGCCCGGCTGTGGCCGTGCAAATCGCAGAAGAGCGCGACGCGGTGCGCGTCGCGCGTTTGATACATGCGGATGAGGTGCTTGAGCGCGGCCACGGGCGGGTGCGCCTCGCGGCTCGGCGCGGACCACTGGCGGTTCAGGTCCATGCCGCTGTTGCTGCAGCGGTAGTTGCCCTGGATGACGCCGTCGGGGTTCAGCATGGGGCAGATCTTGAACACGAAGTGCCGCCGGAGCGCGACGGCGCGCGCGTCGTCGGACGTCAAAAAGTCGAGGATGCCCTGCATGACCCAGGACGCGTTCGACTCGCCCGGGTGCACCCGCGAGCTCAACACGACGAGGCGCCGCTGCCGCGACTCGCCCTCCCGGTCGCCGTCGGCCCGCCGCCGGTCGTCGCCGGCGCCCCGGGGCGGCGGCGCCTCCGCGGGCGCCGACGCCGCCGGCGGCGCCGTGATCGTCAGCAGGTCGCAGCGGTTGCCCGCGACGGTGTCGCAGAGGGACCGCCGCGTGTACGTCGCGGACCGCGCCGGGTCCGCCGCGAGCGTCGCGAGGAACGCCTGGAGGTCCGTGTACGTGTAGGGGTGCGAGTAGGCGAGGTAGAGGCTCGGCTCGTCGTCGTCGAGCGTGAGGTCGAAGCTCAGCGTGTGCGTCCCCCGCCGCCCGCGCTGCCGCCGCTTCTCCTCCTTGCGCCACGCGTTCGGCTTCTCGGCTTCCTTCTTCTTCCGCTGCTCGCGGGGCGTCGGCTCGCGCGGCGTGTCCGTGCCGTTGTTGTCGTTGTCCGACGACGGCAGCGACGGCGGCTTGGACTCGGGCTTGGCACCGTCACCGTCCGGCGCCGCACCGTCGCCGCCGCCGTCGGACTCGCCGTCGGACGCGGACCCGGAGCCGGAGCTCTCCTCGCCGTCGTCGCCGCCGTCGATCGCGAGGCCCGACGCGCGGCGCATGTCGGCGACCTGCTGGCGGTGCGCCTCGGCCGTGTTCTTCGAGTAGCAGACGACCTTGCCCGCGCGGCGCCAGCCGACGCCCGACTTCGCGGCCCCGACGCCGTAGACGAGGGGCTGCATGCCCTCGAGATACAGGCTGTCGGCCTTGGCGAAGTTCGTCACGTTGAAGCGGTAGCGCACGCCCTTCCGCAACCCGTCGACGCGGAAGTAGAACCACTGCGTGTGGCCGCCCGTGCCCACGTCCGGGCACATCGCGCAGTCGAACTCCGCGTCCGGGTACGGCTCGCCCGACGGCGACGGCTCCGCGCCGCCGTAGTCGCGCTCGACGACGGCGGCGTGGAGCAGGTTGCCCGACTCGAAGCGGCTCTCGAAGACGTAGGCGGCCGTCGCGCCGCCGGGCTCCGGCGCGTCCTCGGGCGGCGCGGCGACGGCGCCGTCGGCGTACGTGTAGACGAGCGTCCGCCTCGTCGCGGGCGGCCGGTTCGCCGGCGCGTCGGCGTCGGGGCGGTTCAGGATGTACTTGGGGAGCTCGCCGATGGCCTCGCGGGGCTCCCGCGGCGGCAGGGCGCCGTCGACGGGCGCCGGGGGCAGGCTCGCGGGCCGGCCGCACAGGCCGCCCGTCAGCGCCTCGGGCGGGCCGCCCGCGCGGTCGAACTTGTCGAGCGTCGCGGGCTCGTAGAGCGCGAGGGGCGGCGCGAGGGGGTCGATGCACTCCTTCTGCATGATGCGATTCTTCGCGAGGCGCCAGCGCCGCCGGATGTTCTCGCGGCGGAGCGCGTCGGCCGCGACGGACGGGTCCTCGCGCCGCGGCGCCTCGCTCCTGCGCCTGTGTGGAAACCAAATCTTCAACCCGACTTCAATGTGAGCGTATTCGAATGTTTTGACACAAGCTCTTCGGCTGGGCTTCGAGGACTCGACGAGAGCGATCGATCCGTCCAAAAATCGGCCGAATCGACTTCGATTTGACCGAGCTAGAGAATTCTGAAGTTTGGTCAGGACCACCCAAACCAGTGGTTGGTTTCCACACAGTCCTGCGCCGGTAGGCGGGCCAGTCCGGCAGCGCGAAGCCCTGGCCCTCGCTCTCGCCGCCGTCGGAGTCGTCGACCTCCGACTCGTCGTCGAAGGGCCGGGCCTTGGCCGCGAGGAGCGCCTGGAGCGCCGGCGGCGGCGCGGCCGCCTTGGCGGAGAGCTTCCGGCCCGTGATCATGCCCGCGTCCGCGTCGGACCGCCGGCCGCCGGCGGCGGGCGACGGCGGCGCGCCCCGCGCGCCCCGCCGCGAGCCCGCGGACCAGCGCGCCGCCGGCTCGGCCTTGGGGCCCCGCGCGGACTGGCGGCCCTGCGGCCGCGGGCTCAGCGCCGTCGCCATCATCGCGTAGTTCACGCGCGGCGCCTCGTCGGCCTCGGCGTCGGCCTCGAGGTCGTCGCCCAGCTCGCGCGCACCGCGCCAGGCGTCCTCGGAGCCCGGGGCGCCGCCGGGCGACGGGAGCTCGAAGCTGCCCCGGAGGCCGACGTCGAGCGAGCCGCCGTGGCCGCTGCCGTCGAGGTCCTCGCTCGCCTGGAAGGACCCGAGGCGCATGCGCTCGGACGTCGGCGAGTCGCCGTCCTTCGTCGGCGACTCGTAGCGCATCTGCTCGCTCGGCGTCACGCTGTCGCCGCCGGGCGAGCCCCCGAGGCCGCCGGCGAGCAGCTCCATGAGGCCGCCGAAGCTCGACCGCTCCATCTCGCCGGGCGTCTCCGGCGCGGCCGCCGGCATGGCGACGTGCGCCGTCAGGCGCCCATGCGGGGCGCTCGAGCGGGGGCGGCGGAGGGGCGCGCACGCGGCGGTGCCCTCACGGTTTTTATCTCGACAGGGCAACCTCGGGGAGCCCCTGAGAATGGCAACAACTCTCAGATTTCCCAAAAGCTATATCGGCCTCGCTCGTATATATCTTCTACCAGCCGCGCTCCTCTGCACTGGCTGAGGCGCCTGCGACGCCGCTCGTCGTGCCCGGGCGGGGACGCGCCGCGGCGGTCGCGCGTCGCGCACCATGGTCTGGGGCCGCAAGAGCTGGCGGCGGACGCAGCCGGCGCCGCTGACGCCGCGGAGCGACGAGGAGTCCCCGCGGGACTTTGGGGGCAGCAACGAGGCCGAGTTCCAGGCGCGGCAGAAGGCGCGGGACGAGGCGCGGGAGAACCCGGAGTGGCGGCGGAAGAACGAGATCCTCGCGCAGTTCGACGGGGACGACAGCAGCGACGACGACGAGGCCATCCGGCGGAATTTGAGGCAAGCGGACGCGCCGGACCGGCTCGAGCAGAGCGACGGCGGGGCGTCGCCGCGGGGCTCGCGGGGCGAGATCCCGACCCTCGTGCGGTCCGCGTCGTCGAGCGACGCCCCGCTCCCGACCCTCGGCGACGGCGGCGGCCGCGCGGACGACGACGTCCTCGCGGAGGCCGCGCGGCTCGTCGAGGGCGAGGAGCCGCCGGCGCGGTCGCCGCCGAAGCAGGCGAACCTGGACCACGTGCCCGCGAGCTTCTACCCGCCGGCCATCGAGCCCCTGGGCGTCGCGTCGCCGGAGAAGCCGCGGCCGCGCGACGAGCCGCGGGAGCCGCCGCCGCCGCGCGAGCCGGACACGCAGCGGTCGACCGTCGCCGAGGACCTCTGCATCGTCGACATGACGGAGACGGCCGACGACCTCGAGGCCGCGCTCTTCGGGTCGCCGGGACCGAGCCCGCGCGACGACGGCGGCGCGGGGAAGCCGCTGCCCGCGGAGCCCTACTGCGAGGCCAAGGAGGAGCTCCACGACCCCCTGAGCTTCGGCTGGCACGGCTCCGCGCGAACCAAGGCGCCGAGCCCGACCGCGGCGCGGCCGCCGCCGACGCCCGACGACCCGCTCATGTCGTCGTCGCGGTCCTTCGACAGCCAGGCCGACAGCCAGGCCGACTCCGAGGGCGAGCCGAGGCGCAAGAGCAACTACGGGCGCATCTTCGGCGGGTCGAACCCGGGCGACAAGCCCAAGGAGAAGCGCGGCTCCTTCTTCTCCTTCGGCCGGAAGAAGCGCGACGCGGCGGCCGGCGAGACGCCGCCCAAGGAGGACGGCGGCGACGGCGGCTCGCCGACGGGGTCGCCGGGGCCCCGGCCCAACGGCGCGAACCCGCGCGCGGCGCCGGGCAACGTCATCGTCGTCGCGCCGCGGCACCGCGGGGCCCAGGAGTTCTCGACGCAGACGTCGCGGGCCGCGACGCCCGAGCAGTTCTAGGGCGCCGCCGTCGCCGTCGTAACTCGTGCTTCTTCTCACGCAATCCTCCCTCGCGCTTCTTTCGCCGTCTCGGGGTCGCGGGAGGCCTCGCGGGACGCGCGGTTCCGAACCCCGGCGAAGGCTGCCCGGGCGGCGGCGCTCCGTCGGGGCAGCACGATGGTCGTCAACAGCCACGAGAGATAAGCCATGTCGATCTACGAGTACGCCGCCAACAACTACTACTACTCGGACGAGGACGAGCTCACGCCGAACGTGACGTGCCGCAACGCGACCCTCGTCGTCACCGACCGCCGGCGGCCGGGCCTCGCGCTCCTGCCCGGCGGCCGCTGGATCGTCAACGGCAGCGACGCGTACTGGAACGGCACGGACTGCGTCGTGCGCGCGTCGGCGTCGGAGGCCGCGCCCTTCGAGCTGCCCATGGCCGTCGTCGGGCCGCTGATCGGCGTGCTCGCCGCGGCCGCGGCCGTCGGCGTCGGCGTCTGCCTGCTGGAGCGGCGGCGGAAGCGGCTCCTGCGCGTCCACGGCGCGTCGCCCGCGAGCCTCACGGAGGACTCCAAGTCCTTCACCTGGCGCTTCCTCCTCGGCGTCCTCGACCTGCTGCAGTCGACGTGCTTCGACTGGTGCGGTTTGGTTTGCCCGCGGAGGCTCGACCGCATCGAGTTCCTGTCGACGCGCTACAACGACTTCACGGGCAGCGTCTTCAAGGTCTTCGTGGACCTGAAGATCCACGGCCAGGAGCGGCTCCGGTGGCTCGACGCGTGGGCGACAGGGCAGCAAAAGAGAGCGAATTTCCCAACTTCAAAGGCTCATATCTCGGCCATTTTCCACTCGTTTCGGCTGACTTTTGGACGAGCGATCATTTCTTGGAACGGTCTCGAAGCGTGGATGCTTTTTCCGGAACACTCGCGCGCGGAACACTCACGTTGAAGCGACGTTGAATCTCTCTTTTGCTGCCCAGGTGGGCGACGCTCGACAGGGACGCGTCGAACTCGGTCGACTTTTCGGAGTTCGCCGAGTACTTCGCGCTGCCGCCCAGCGCCTACAGCCGGCGCTTCTTCGACACCTTCAACGAGGACCAGAACGGCGCCGTGCCCATCCGCGGCTTCCCCGCGTCCTCGTGACGATCTTCGAGAGATTTCTTGACCGGGGAAGACGGCGAATCGTCCCGCGGCCGCGACGATCTTCGAGAGACGTCGACCGGGGAAACGACGAACCGTCGTCACCGACGCGCGCTCCGTAGGCGACTTCCTGGCCCAGACCTGGGCGACGTGCGCCGTCGACAAGACGTGCTGCGAGACGCTGAGCTTTCGGTTGCTCTGCCGCCAGGCGCACTGGGACGAGCGGGTGTCCGTGCTCGACATCAAGGACCTGGAGCACTTCATCCACCACCGCTACAAGTTCCGCCGGACGAACGCGAAGAAGAAGGCGTTCCAGGTCTTCTCCTTCGTCGACGCCGACGGCTCCGGCGGCATCGACTTCCGCGAGTTCCAGAAGTTCAGCGACGACAACGCCGTCTTCCTCGGCCTCGGCCACGGCTACCAGCGCAAGATGCGCGACAAGCTCTTCGGCCACGACTACTGGGCGAAGCAGACGGGCAAGCGCAAGTCGCTCTACGCGCTCGACCGCGACTTCCACGCGAAGATGGACGCGTACTACGCCGCGCGCTACGACGCGACCAAGGCGCCGTCCTTCTGGGACGACTTCCCCGAGGTCTACGAGCGGTGCTGCGAGCTGCTGCGCGCCGAGGCGAAGAAGGCGGCGACGCTCGAGACGCTGCACGTGTCCATGCGCGCGAACCTGCACCGGAGGATGATCGCGGCGCTGGAGAACCTGACCGTGGACTCGACGACGCTGCGCGGGTCCTTCTACAAGTGGAAGCAGCGCGCGCGCCTCGCGACGAAGATGCGCGCGGCCGTCGACGACATGACGGGCGCGAACGACGACGCGAAGCCGCTCGACGAGTCCGTGCACCTCGCCATCGTCCAGGCGTCGGACCGGTCGACGCCGACGCACGAGATGATCCTGGACCTGCGGGCGAAGAACCTGCGCGAGTCCGCCCGGAAGCTCTCGCGGAAGCAGGCGCTCGCGCGCGCGGACGCGGGCGCGTCCGCGCGCCTCGTCCACGTCTCGCCGCCGAAAACGCGCGTCATCGCCGTGCGATAGCGCGACTAAGCGCCATCGCCGTGCGATAGCGTGACTAGGCGGCGCGCGTCATCGCCGTGCGATAGCGCGACTAAGCGGCGCGCGTCATCGCCGTGCGATAGCGCGACTAAGCGTCGCGCGTCATCGCCGTGCGATCGCGCTCCTTAGGAGCAACCGGGGGATTCTAGTCGCGCGTCCGGCTCGCCGGGGGCGCTCGCGCGCTCTCGAGCGCGCGCCTCAGGACCCCGGCGGCTCCGTCGGGCCCAGAAACCCGCCGAGGACCTGGCGGTTGAAGGCGCCGTCGCCGAGGCTCCGGAGCTCGGCCTCGATGGTCGCGTCGTCCATGCCCATGCCGAGGCCGACGACGGGGTCGAAGCGCGGCGCGCCGTCGAGGCTGTCGCCGCTGTCGCCGCTCGACACGGGCGCGGCGTCCCGCGAGTGCTCGGACACGAGGTCCGGCTCCGGCGGCGTCTGCGGGAGAGGCGCCGCCGCGCCGAGGCGCCGCGTCGCGAAGGCGCCCGGCGTCTCGAGCGACGGCTCCGGCGGCGCCGCGGCCGCGACGGGGTCGAAGCGCCAGGCCCAGAAGGACATGCGGCCGCCGTGGTAGGTGACGACCCGCAGGTAGGCGCGCGTCATCATGGGCAGACCGGAGCCCTTGAGCACGAGCTGGAGCGGCCAGACGTCGGGCTCGGACGACGCGTACGTGCCCGCGTCGTCGTCGGGCACGGCGGCGTTCAGCCGCCGGAGCACGCCCGACAGGAGGCGGCAGACGTTCGGCTTGTCGTCCGGGTGGAGGAATAATTCCGACGGGCAGCCGACGCCCTGCGCCTCCATGGCCGCGTTGAGCTCCGCGGAGTCGTAGACGAGGTCGTCGAACGCGCGGTTGCCCTGGTAGCGCACCGTGCCGTCGACCTGCATGCGCAGGAGCGTCACGGAGGAGGGGTCGCGCTTCGCGACGACGAAGTCGCCGATGCAGGCCGGCAGGGACCGCGGCGCGTCGCGGAGCACCATCTCTACCGCCTCCGCGCCCGTCCGCGGCCGCGCGCGGAGGGGCGGCGGCGCGGGGCTCACGCGGCCGCCCGCGCGCGCGGCCTTGGCCGCGCGCTCGTCGCTTTGGTCGTCGTCGCCGTCGATCATCGTGGAGAAGGGGTTGCCCGCCTGGGCAGGAAAAGAGTGCGAAATTCCCAACTTTTGAGGCTCATATCTCGGTCGTTTTCCACTCGTTTTGGCTAATTTTTGGACGAGCGATCATCTCTCGGAGCGCTCTCGACGCGTGGATATTTTTCCCGGAACGATCGCGCGCGGAACACTCATGTTGAAGCGATCTTGAATCACCCTTTTCCTGCCCTGTTGCCCGCGGGGAGGTACGCGGCCATGTCCGCGGGCGCGTCCGCGGCGGGGCTCACGCGCGCCGCGGACTTCATCAGCATCAGGTCCTTGAGCGAGATGCGCGCGCGCGTCGCCATGGCCATGGCCCGCGTCATCATCATGGACGAGCCCCGCTGCGTCGCCATCAGCGCGACCTCGCGGACGAGCTGGACCATCGTCGGGCCGCCCTGGTCGAAGCCGCAGTCGCCGTCGCCCGTGCCGCACCCGTCGGACTGGGCGTCCTGCTGGCGGCTCAGGAGCATGCTCGCCGTCTTCTCGCCGAGCTTGCCCCGGCGCTTGCCCCTCCGGCTCGGCGCCGACTCGACGCAGGCGAGGCCCAGGCGCACGCAGCGCGAGCAGGACGGCTTCGCGTTGTCGCACTTGACCTTGGACCGCGCGCAGGCGACGCAGGGCCGCTGCTTCTTCGGCGGGGGTGGAGCCGGCGCAGTATCGGATTCCTTCATGTGATCTTCATCGGCGTCCATAACTCGAAGAATGCCGACGAGGCCGACGAGGCACCTGGGGCTGCCCTCATCTTTGAAAACGTTGTTGGACAGTTACTGAAGGGGGTTGTTGCAGCTGGGCAGCGCCGTTGCCTGGAACTTCCGCGCCGCTGCGACCGGGCAGCCCGTTGAGAGTCGCGCCGGAAGGTCCTCCGGCGCCGCCGCGATGATGACGCCGAACAACAAGGAGAACGCCAAGGCGAACATCCTGGCCATGTTCGACGAGGACTCGAGCGTCGACGGCGACTCCCCGAAATCGGCGCTGCGCGCCAAGACCCCCAAGACGCCCGGCAGCGCCAAGCCGCGCACGCCGGGGTCGAAGCCCTGCAGCGATGACATCGTCGCCATCACGGACTTCGACGTCGCCGCGTCGCCGGCGCCGGAGAAGGTGCCCGCGGCGCCCGTCGCCGTCGTCTCGGCCGAGCGGCCGACGCCCGAGCGGCCCGAGCGGCCGACGCCCGAGCGGCCCGAGCGGCCGACGCCCGAGCGGCGGAGCCTCCTCGCGAGCAAGGACGAGCTCGTGGTGACGGAGGTCATCATGGAGGAGCCCGCCTCGCCCGACGCGCCGTCGTCGCCGCTGCCCGCGCCGCCGCGCCTCGCGCCGATGCCCGCGGCGACGACGCCGCCGCCGCCCGCGGCCCTGGCCGACGAGCTCTCGAGCTCGTCGTCGCGCGGCACGCGCGCGGCCCTCGCGGCGCTCTCGCCCCAGGCTCCGAATTTCGACGCGGCGACAAAGGAGGTCGCGACCGCGGCCGTCGCCTCCGAACCGCCGAAGAAGGGCAGCCCGTCGCCGTCGAAGAAGGGCCGCGGCTGGAAGCTCTCCTTCCCGCGCTTCTCCCGCAAGGCTCCGGAGGAGACTGTCCCGCCGCCCGTCGAGGTGTCGGTGGTGGAGACGTCCGCGCCGGGCAACCGGACGCCCGCGCGACGAAGCGCGGCGGCAAGGCGCGGGTGGTGCAGGTGAAGGCGAGGGAGGTGGAGGTCGCGGGCGTGGAGGGGTGATCACGACGAGGAGCGCTGGAGTATTGGCGGCTTAAACTTGGCATGGACTCGACTGCAGGGACGCGTGAGGGTTTATTACGCAGTGGGCGATTTTCGGAATCACGCACCCCCTCTTACGTTGATCTCCAAGGCATGGTTCGGCGTCCCACACGACGCGCGCAGGGGGCGTTCCGCGCGTGCAATACGTCGGGAAGGCGCGGGAGAGAGCGCACAACGCGTCGGCCGCGCTCCCTGCCTTCGCGCGCCTCGGCAATCGCCCCCCGCTCTCGGAAACGCGTGCAAGTTACCTGCATCATCATCGCCATAGGTTCAACAATGGCCCGCTCCGCCCTCGCCCTCGCCCTCGCGCTCTCCGCCGATGCCTTCGCGCCGGCGCCCAAGACCGTCCAGCGCGTCGCGCCGATGAACGTCGAGACGCGCTCGCGCGCCCTCGGCTCGACGTCCGCCTACGGCGCTCCCCGCATCCCGGCCGCCGACTCGACGATCCTCGTGCAGGGCGGCTCGCTCCGCACGTGGTCCTACAAGTCGCCGCTCGTCGACCAGGTGCAGGTCGTCCTCTCGACGGAGGGCCGCCCGCTCGACGCCGACCTCGAGCTCTGGCACGGTCCCGACAACACGCCGTGCAAGATGCGCGTGTACGTCGAGAACGGCCAGCTCCGCCCCTTCAGCGCCGTCGTCGCGACGCCCCGCGGCCCCAACACGGTTGCGATCCGCAACATCGGCCAGATCGAGTTCCCCATCGCCGCGGACGTCTACGCCAACGACGTGGAGAACCCGTCCGTCGACTGCGTCAACTCGGCCACGACGATCCAGGGCGGCGCGCTCCGCACGTACCCGTTCGACCCCCTCGTCAACTCCGTCGAGGTCCTCCTCCGCACGGACGGCCGCCCGCTGAACGCGCGCATCGAGCTCCTCCAGGGCCCGAACAACAACAAGCAGGTCATCGAGCTCTACACGGAGGACGGCTTCGACCGCCCCTTCTTCGCGATCCTCGAGACCCCCGGCTCGGGCAACGTCGTGCGCATCGTCAACACCGCGCCCGTCGAGTTCCCCATGACCGCGGCCGTCGTCCCGCACTCCCTCGACGAGGGTGGCGCCGACTACGCCCGCGGCGACGTCGTCATCGGCGGCGACATCGGCTGGTAGAGAGCAACGCATCGGACGACCGTTCGATCCAAGGCTCCGAAGCGGGGCCAACCCGCTTCTCGCTCGAATACCACCAACCCCCCTGTCCCCTCCTCCCTTCGCCGCGCGGGCCTCCCCTCTCCACGAGCCGCCGAAGAGCCCTTCGAGGGCCCCCGTCGTGATAATTCTCTCCCAAGCCACGCGCAGACTGCCGCGGCGAGGTGCGGCGGGGCGCCGGCGCGCCGGGCACCCTTGTGACGTAATTGCTTGAGACACCGCAAGAAGCCGCGCGATGGTCCGCTCCCTCGCCCTCGCCCTCGCGTTCACCGCCAGCGATGCCTTCGTTCCGGCGACCACGCAAATCCAGCGCGTCGCGCCGATGAAAATGTCGGACGGACCGGCGGCGTCGTCCAAGCCGGAGTGGGATGAGCTCGACGCCGCGGTCAAGCAAGCGGACGCGCTCGACAAGGCGCTCCAACAAAAATCCGAGCCGACGGATCTCAAGTACAGCCCAGCGACGACGGTGCCGCCGCCCAGCCCAGCGACGACGGCGCCGCCGCCCAAGCCGCCGCCGCCGATTCCGCCGACGCCGAAGGTGGACACGATCCTCGTGCAGGGCGGCTCGCTCCGCACGTGGTCCTACAAGTCGCCGCTCGTCGACCAGGTGCAGGTCGTCCTCTCGACGGAGGGCCGCCCGCTCGACGCCGACCTCGAGCTCTGGCACGGTCCCGACAACACGCCGTGCAAGATGCGCGTCTACGTCGAGAACGGCCAGCTCCGCCCGTTCAGCGCCGTGATCGCGACGCCGCGCGGCCCCAACACCGTCGCCATCCGCAACATCGGCCAGCTCGAGTTCCCCATCGCCGCGGACGTCTACGCCAACGACGTCGAGATGGCGTCCGAGGAGTGCGTCAACTCGGCCACGACTATACAAGGCGGCGCTCTCCGAACGTACCCGTTCGACCCGCTCGTCGACTCGGTCGAGGTCCTCCTCCGCACGGACGGCCGCCCGTTGAACGCGCGCATCGAGCTCCTCCAGGGCCCGAACAACAACAAACAGGTCGTCGAGCTGTACACGGAGGACGGCCTGGACCGCCCGTTCTTCGCCGTCCTCGAGACGCCCGGCTCGGGCAACGTCGTGCGCGTCGTCAACACGGCGCCCGTCGAGTTCCCCATGACCGCCGCCGTCGTCCCGCACTCCGTCGAGGAAGGTGCGGCCGTCGACGCCCGGAGCGAGGTCGTCATCGGCGGCGACATCGGCTGGTGACGCGCCGCCGAAGCCCCGAAGCGGGACCACCCCGCTTCTCGAGCTCGAAACCCCTGTCCGAAACCCCTGTGCTCTTCGTAAGATGTGTCTTTCGATGACCCCCGTAGTAACGGAACCCAGGGAGCCCGGGGCCTGCCCGTGCGCGGCGCCGAGTCCGAGTCGGACCGTGACGGCGCCCGGCCGCGGCGGCCGCGCGGATGCCTCGTTCTTCGACACCTCCCTCGACGGCCTGCTTCTCGACCTCGCGGCTGGCGTCGGCGCGCTGCTCCCGGGCCCTCGTCAGGTCGGTAACCGCGGGCCCCTGCACGACGCGCTACGACGCCGCGTTAAACGCCGCGCGGGGCGCCGGGGACGTGACACCGGAGCGAAAGTCCGAGAACTTGAACCGGCTTCCCGTTGAACAGGCTAACAGAATTCGACGCATCCACCTCACACGTACTTCTGCTATAGCACAATGGCCCGCGCCCTCACCCTCGCCCTCGCGCTCTCCGCCACCGATGCCTTCGCTCCGGCGACCACGCAGAGCCCGCGCGTCGCGCCCATGAAGATGGTCGAGTCCACGACCATGCCGTACAGCACGCCCACCGGCCAGGCGGCGGGGGCCCCGCTGGGCCTCTCGAATCTGCCCAAGCCCGACTCGGGCGCCGAGTCGACCATCCTCGTCCAGGGCGGCTCGCTCCGCACGTGGTCCTACCGCTCGCCGCTCGTCGAGCAGGTGCAGGTCGTCCTCTCGACGGAGGGCCGCCCGCTCGACGCCGACCTCGAGCTCTGGCACGGCCCGGACAACACGCCCTGCAAGATGCGCGTGTACGTCGAGAACGGCCAGCTCCGCCCCTTCAGCTGCGTGATCGCGACGCCCCGGGGCCCCAACACCGTCGCCATCCGCAACATCGGCCAGATCGAGTTCCCCATCGCCGCCGACGTCTACGCCAACGACTGCGAGAACCCGTCCGCCGAGACCGTCAGCTCGGCCACGACCATCCAGGGCGGCGCGCTCCGCACGTACCCGTTCGACCCGCTCGTCAACTCCGTCGAGGTCCTCCTCCGCACGGACGGCCGCCCGCTCAACGCGCGCATCGAGCTCCTCCAGGGCCCGAACAACAACAAGCAGGTCGTCGAGCTGTACACGGAAGACGGCCTGGACCGCCCGTTCTTCGCCGTCCTCGAGACGCCCGGCTCGGGCAACGTCGTGCGCATCGTCAACACGGCGCCCGTCGAGTTCCCCATGACCGCCGCCGTCGTCCCGCACTCCATCGACCAAGATCTGGCCTCGGGCAAACACGACGGCGACGTCGTCATCGGCGGCGACATCGGCTGGTAGAGAGCGCGGCGCTGCCTCGAACCATCCAAGGCCCCGAACCGGGACCATCCCGCTTCTCGCTCGAAACCCAATCCCCCCCGCCCCGCCCCCGTCGCCGCGTGCGGGTCTCCTCTTCTTCGCAAGAGTCGTCCCCGGGCCCCCGTAGTGAAACTCACCTCCCCGCCCTTGGCTGTCTTGTCGAGGACCTGGCGGATGCCGCGCGCCCAGTCCGGCGCGCGGACCGTCCACGCCGCGTCACTTGCCGTGTCCGCCCCAGTCGGGTGACGTCCGCGAAGGACGCTGTCGGGTAGTGTGCCCGCTGGTGGCATCTCGCCGAAAGGCGCGTCCGACGAGGGCGTCGGTAAGGCGTCGGCACCGGAGGAAGGGATTGAGGACGGCAAGGCGCACTGCACGGAGCCGGCGCGCCGCCATCACTCGCGCGTCCTCATCCCTCCACGCGGCCGTCCCGGCTCCGCGCAGCCAGCCTCGCCATGACGATGCGCCGGCTCCTCGCGCTATCGTGCCTCGGCCTCGGCGCGGCGCGCCCGACGGTGCGCGAGCTGAAGAACCTCGCCGAGTTCGACAAGCTTTTGGCCCACCACGCCGAGAACACGGGCCTCCCCGTCGTCGTCGACTTCTACAGCGACTCCTGCGGCCCCTGCCGCATGATCGCGCCGGTCTTCAAGAAGCTCGCGGCGGAGTACAAGGACCGCGCCGTCTTCGCCAAGGTCAACGTGGCCCACGCGCGCGACGTCTCGGCGAAGGCGCAGATCCGGTCGATGCCGACGTTCCACTTCTACGCCGACGGCCGCAAGAAGAACGAGTTCTCCGGCGCCGGCGAGATGCAGCTCCGCCAGGCGACGGACCAGATCGTGGCGAGCGCCGCGAGCGCGAACGCGAAGCTCGCGCGGGGCGCGCTCCTCGCGTTCTACGAGGCGCGCGACGCCTCGAAATCCGAGGCGGACGTCGACAAGATCCTCAGGAAGTGCGGGTCCCTGGCCAAGGCCGGCGGCGACTGCGTCGGCGGCGCCGCCAAGGAGCTCGCGAAGAAGCTCGAGGCCAAGTTCGGCGCCGCGCCGAAATTGGTGTCGCGCTTCGACAAGAAGGCCTCCGACGACGCGCCGCCGCCGCGGGGCCGCGCGAAGAAGGCGCCGTCCGCGGACAAGGCGACGACGGAGGAGCTCCTCGCGGAGCTCGCGAAGCGCGCCGACGCCGGCGACGACGTCGCGGCCGTCGGCGCGGAGGCGATGCGAACCTACCTCGACGAGATCGCCGCGGAGGAGGACGACGACGAGGACGACGACGAGGAGGACGACGAGGCGCTGCCGCTCTACCGGCCCCAGTCGAACTTCGCGGAGCGCGTCGTCATCGTCGGCGGCGGGCCCGGCGGCCTGGGCGCGGCGGTCTACGCGGCGCGCGCGGGACTCATGCCCATCGTCGTCGCGCCGCCCGGCGGCGGCCAGCTGCTGGGCAAGGGCGTGACCATCGAGAACTACCCCGGCGTCCTCGGCGACACGGGCCCGGGCATCGTCACGAAGATGCAGCAGCACGCGGCCGAATCCGGCGCGGTGTTCTACCCGCACGCGGTCACGCGCGTGGACCTCCGGCGGCGGCCGTTCGTGGTCGAGACGCCCGAGGCGAACATCTCGGCGCACACGCTGATCGTCGCGACGGGCGCCGACAGCCGCTGGCTCGGCGTCGCGGGCGAGTCCGAGTTCAAGGGCGGCGGCGTGTCGAGTTGCGCGACGTGCGACGGCTTCCTCTACCGGGACCGGGACGTGGCCGTGATCGGCGGCGGCGACACGGCCATGGAGGACGCCCTGGTGCTGGCGCGGACGTCGGCGAAGGTCACGGTCGTCCACCGGCGCGACGCGTTCCGCGCGTCCAAGGCCATGGCGACGCGCGTCCTCGAGCACCCGAAGATCGAGGTGCGCTGGAACGCGACGGTGGCGTCCTTCTCCGGCACGCACGAGGAGCTCGAGATGGAGGACGGGGTCAAGGACATCGCGACGCTCACGCGCGTGCATTTGACGTCGACGGCGTCGGGCGAGGCGTCGGCGCTCGACGTCGCGGCCGCGTTCGTCGCCATCGGCCACGACCCGAACACGAAGCTCTTCGCGGACCAGCTTGTGGTGAAGCCCAGCGGCTACCTCGAGCTCGCGGGCTCCAAGTTCGCGACGGAGCTGTCCGTGCCGGGCGTCTTCGCGGCGGGCGACGTCGCCGACCCCGTCTACCGCCAGGCGATCACGTCCGCGGGCTCGGGCGCCATGGCCGCCCTCGACGCCGAGCGCTACCTCTCGGAGCACGGCATCGGCGACGACAGCGAGCAGTTCAACGACGACCTCATGGCGGAGCTCATGGCCGACTTCCAGAACGGGTCCGCCGACGACGGCGCGCACAACGCCTACGACGACGCGTCCTCGGAGAACATCCTCAAGTACGCCAACGCCAAGGCCGACTTGTAAATTCCCTGGGTCATGGTGGGTTTTGTACATTGTTACGTCATCGACGCGCGCTCCGCGCCGTGCATCTCGACGGACTTGCGCGTGGCCCGCGAGACGGGCCGGAGGTTCGCCGGAACCGCGTCGTCCGTGCTGCGGAAGCCGCGGCAGACGAAGGCGACGATCAGGATTGAGCCGATTATAAAACCGGCGCCCGCCGCGACGACGAAGCTGTGGTGGAACCAGGGCGGCCCGTCGTCGTCGTCTGCTGTGTCGGGCAGCGCTGTTGGTGATGGCGTCGGCAGCGCTGTCGGTGGTTCGGTAGATTGTGCGACTGCGAGAATGATGGCGTAGAGTAGCCGTCTCGCGTGGGCTGCCGGGCTGGGGCTGCCACCGAGTCGGGCTGCCATCTCTCTGTGTGGCTGCGGCCTACGCTAGGAAAACTAGGGGACCTCTGAGCTCCATAGCCGGACCGCCCGGGGCTGTCGAGGCGAGCGCCTCCAGCCGGACGGGTCGCTGCCGATTGGGACGCGTAGGCCGCCCGCGCGCGAGCCGAGCTCGGGAGCACGAGGGGAGGATAATCTAGCAGAGCGCATCGCGGCCGCGTCCACGAGGAAGGACTCGAGGATCGAGCTCGCCGGGGGTCTGGAGGCAAGCCGAGCCGCGATCTGCCTCCGTCTCCGCTAGTCAACCAGCACCGTCGCACGTAACCATGCTCCGCTCCACCCTCATCGCCTGCGTCCTTTCGGTTGCGTGCGCGTTCGTCGCGCCCAGCCACTCCGTCGCGCCCCTCCGCGCCGCCACGAGCATGGACATGTCCGCGCGCCGCGTCCAGCGCTGCCGGCGGCCGGCGGCTGCAATTTGAGCCACCGCGTCGCCGGCGGCCGCCGTTCCGCGCCCGCGCGCCGCGCTCGCGCCGGCCCCCACGCACGTCCTCCGCAGGTCCGTCGCCGACGCCCCGGAGCTCGTCACGGCGACGAACAACTTCCTCGTCGCGGCGTCCGAAAACGACTTCGGCGGTAGGAACCGGCGTCCCAGAAACCCCCCGCCGCCGCCCGTGGCGCCGCCCCGCCGCCGCGAAACGCGCACGCCGCCTCCCGCGCAGGCTACTTCTTCCCCGTCGCCGGCCTCACGCTGCTCGGCGCGATCATCACGTTCCTTTCGCCTCCGCTGAAGGACGAGTAAGTCCAAGGACAAAGAGACAGACCCCCCATCCCCCGTCGACCTCCGCGGCCCGCGCGATGGCGGCCCGCGGCGGAGCACCGGCGCTGTGTGACGAGAAGCGCGCTGTGGTGTAACACTTTCCGCTACCTCGACGCTCGACCCGCGGCGACCGACCGGGCGCGGGCCGATCGGGGTCCTCGATCCCTCTCCGTCGACCGCCCATCCGACAGCCCCGGACGACGAGCTCCCGGGAAGTAGGACTCCCGGGAGGTAGGAATCCCGAGCGCGAATGTTACATCATCGGTCCGGCGGCGGCGCGAGCGCGGCGAGCGCCTGGGAGAAGGCGCCCAAAGCGGCGGCCGCGGGCCGCCACTTGTGCGCGCCGTGGACGCGCCCCGCGAGCTGCGCCGCGGCGCGGCGCGCCTCGGGCCGCGTCGCCGTGCGCAGCAGCACGGGGACCCAGATGTCGGGCGCGTCGAGGAGGAGGTCCACGGCGCGGTCGACCTTCGCCGACGTCTCGTCGTCGCCCTGGACGCGCGTGAGGAACTCGGCGGCGTCGTCGACGAGGCCCGCGCGCGTCGACGCGCCGGCGTCGGACGTGAGGAAGTCCGACGCGTCGGAGAGGATCGCGACGACGGCGTCGCGGCCGCCTAAGGCGTCGACGGCCCGCCGCAGCGCGGCCGCGGCGTCGTCCTCCGAGAGGGGCTCCGACGGCTCGCTCCCGGCGAAGGCCGACTCCGCGAGCGCGTTGAGCCGCGCCCAGCGCACCTTGCCGCGCGCGTCGAGGATGAGCTCGAGGAGCGCGGTCCGCGACGCGGGCGACCGGTCGCCGAGGAGCCCCCGCGCGACGTGCGGGTAGGCCGCGGACACGACCTCGAACTGGGGGTCCACGGCGAGCACGGCGCCCTCGAGCGACACCAACGCGCGCACGACCGTCGCGAAGCGCGGCGGCAGCGCGAACGCGAGGTCGTCGTCGCCGCCGGGCAGCGCCTCCCGCAAAAAGGCCAGCACGCCCGCGAAGGAGTGGCGCTCGCGCATGCTGCCGAACATCTCCACGCGGTCCGCCGGGCCCGAGGCGAGCGTGCGGTTCAGCGCGTCCACCAATCGCGGCTCCGCGTCGGGCGCGTCGTTGACGAAGCCCAGCGCCACGAAGTCGCGCGCGAGGCCCGGCGCGTCGCGGTTCACGAAGTGGACCACGAGCGACATGAGCCCGAGCCGGTCCGCGTCCGTCATCGTGCCCATCTTCCCGAAGTCCAGGTACGCCAAGCCGCCGTCGCCGTCGACGAGCAGGTTGCCCGGGTGCGGGTCCGCGTGGAAGAAGCCGTCCTCGAAGAACTGCTTCACCGTGCACTGGACGCCGCTCCGCACGAGCGCGCGCCGCGCGGCCGTGCCGTGCGACGGCTCGCGGCCCCACGCGTCCAGCTTCGTCCCGTCGACCCACGACATCGTCAGCACCCGCGCCGTCGAATAATTTTGAAACACCTCGGGCACGTGGACGTCGCCGCCGTAGCGCAGCTTGAAGGCCGCGGCGTCCCGGGCCTCGCGCTCGTAGTCGAGCTCGTCGACGATCCTCCCGACGATCTCGTCCGCGATGCCGCCGAAATCCGTCGGCGACCGCCAGACCATCTTCAGCAGCTCCATGACCTTGACGACGGCGACGGCGTCGAGAGCCAACAGATCCGTCACGTTCTCGCGCTGAACCTTGACGGCCACGAGCGACCCGCACGCGCGGAGCCGCGCTCGATAGACCTGCCCCAAGCTCGCGGACGCGACGGGCTCGCAGGCGTCGTCGAGGTCGTGGAAGAGGGCCGCGACCGGCGCGCCGAGCTCGCCCTCGAGGACGCGCATGGCCTCGGCGCCCGTCAGCGAGTCGGGCATCGCGTCCTGGAGCAGCGCGAGCTCCTCGCAGAGCTCGGGAGGCAGCACGTCGCGCCGCGTGGACAGCGCCTGGCCGATCTTCACGAAGGCCGGGCCGAGGCGGATGAAGGCCTCGCGCATCTTCACGCAGCGGATGGCCACGTCGACGTTGCGCATCTTCCGCAGCTGGATCGTCCCGAGCTCGACGATGATGCGCGCCATGCGCGCGGCCACGCGCGCCTGCGACGGCGGCGCCGCCGCGGCGGACGACGCGCGGCGCAGCGGCGCCGCGGCGTGGCGCGCCGCCGCCGCGCACCGGCAGAACATGTGGGCGCGCTAGGAGCTCGCCGTCTCGATGACTCGACGCATATGCATTGCGTGTGCGAGCTGCTCCGCCCTTCACGTTGAGGAGATGTTGAGGGAAATGGACGATGGCCGCTCCTCGGGCAGCCTGCGCGCACCATTCCAGCGCTCCTCGGCAGCCTGAACGCGACGCAGTCATGCGGTGATGCGCGATGACGCAGCCCAGGGCGGCGGCGGCGGCGCAGCCCACTCCGCAGCCCAGGGCGGCGGCGGCGCAGCCCACTCCGCAGCCCACTCCGCAGCCCACACCGCAGCCTACTCCGCAGCCCACACCGCAGCTCCTGAGCCTCTCGTTGAACCGCGTGCTCTGCAGCAACGATTTGGGCCGCCGCCTGCGCGACGGCGTGCCGACGGTCGTGCGCGACGCCGTCGCCGCGGACGTCGTCGCCGCCGTCGAGGCCGCCGTCGCGCGCGGCGCCGGCGCGCCGCTCGCGCCGTTCCCCGGCGAGAACATCGCGTCGCAGGAGCGCAACGGGAGCGGCGCGGCGGCCTCCGCCGCGGCGCTGCTCGGCGGCGCGCGCGCCGGCCAGCTGCGCCTCGAGGCACCGGCGCTCGCCGCCGCGGCGGTGCGGCGGCTGCTCGCGGGCGCGGGCCGCGCGGTCCACGGCGGCGACTCGCTGGCGTTCGTGAACAGCCGGGGCCTGCGCCAGCGTCCTGCGGCCGAAACGATTTTCGAGATATTTTGACCGGAAAAACGATGAAAAATCGTCACCGACGTGCCTGGTAGGCATGCGCACGCCCATGCACACGGACGCGCGCGACGGCCTGCTGCTCCACGTGCGCGGATCGAAGCGCGTCGCCTTCGCGCCGCCGGGCGCCGACGAGGCCCGGTGGCGCGCACTGCGCGTCACCCCCGGCGCGCAGCGGGACGTGCTCCCGGGCGACCTCCCCGCGGTGGACCTGCGCCCCGGGGACGTGCTCCTGATCCCGCGGCGGTGGTGGCACGACGTCGAGAGTTCGACGGCGACCATCTCCGTGTCGATCCGCGTCGAGCAGCCCCGCGACGCGGAGCACGAGGAGGCGCTCGAGGGGTTCTAGGGCATTACTCGGAGTAGCCGACGAGGCCGCGGAGCGGATGGCCGGGCGCGGCGGCGACCTTGCGGAGCCGCCGGCGGCTCGGCTTCGCGCGCCAGGGGCGCCGCGGCTCCGCGCCGAGGCGCACGGTCTCGGCCTCGGCCGGGGGGCCGTCGAGCGCGGCGGCGATCCAGTCCCGCAGCGTCCGGTACGCGACGTCGCGCGCCGTGTCGAGCAGGTGCGCCGCGCGGTTGATCACCACGAGCGTTGACCTGCCTTGTGCCTCGACGGCGCGGCCGTGGAGGAGCTCGCTGACCTGGAGCGCGACGTTCTTATCGTGGCTGCCGTGCAGGAACAAGGTCGGTCGCCCTGTCGCGGCGAAGCGCGCGACGCAAGCCGCGGTGTCGAAGGCCGCGAATGTCTCGCCGCCCCGCGCCGACCCCGCCACCGACGCGGCGCCCGCGAGCCGCGCGCCGAAAGCTTCCGAGAGTCTGTCGAGCGCGGCCCAGAGCGCCGGTCCGCCGAAGGAAAACCCGACGACGACGAGCCGCGCGCCGGCGTGGCGGTCCAGGAGCCACCGCGCGCCGGCGACGGCGTCCTCGACGGCCGACTCGAGCATCGAGAGCCGCCGCAGCCGTCGCCGCGGGATCACGGACCAGTCGACCATGAGCGCCGCGACGTCGCCGCCGTACGCGGCGTCCCTTTCGCGTTTGTAGGCCCAGGAGTGCGCTGCGCCCGTCGCGAGCTCGTGTCCGAGCCGAATGTAGATGCCTCCGTGGCAGCGGCGCGTCGGCGCCGCGGAAAAGGGCTGCGGCGCGCGCTCGATGCCCGGGCCGACGCCACCGCCACTTCCGGGCAGCATGAGCACGCATGCTCGCGCCCTCCTCAGAGGCTCGAAATAAAGCCCTCTTGCCGTCGTCTCCGGGTCG